GAATGGTGGTTGGGAAAGGAAAATCATGCCTAGTATATGTATATGCTGAACTTATTGGCGAAAGCTGTTAACATCTTAGGAGGTCGAAGATGTTAACAGATAAAATCCCAACATATTGAACGTATACGCAAAATCATGCCTACATTAGCAGAAGCTTGTCTCGTTAGTTTGAAACTAACTGTGAGCTACAGACACACAAATTTGGTTATGGATAGCCTGCGTGGCTTGGTCCAGGTGATAATTCTACAATGTGTAATCAATAAGGAGGCACCAGCCTCACTGCAGGAGAGATAAATACGCATTAGTGCTGATTACAGAATTACCTGCAGCTGTTAGTGCAGCACTGTGGCTGCCAGCCTTACCTCCCAGTCCACACAGGCACCTCCCCACAATGCCACACAGCTTTAGCGTCCTCAATTTCAGAATTCATTCAGATCAGTTTGTATGTATTCTAGCCCGCTGTTCTATAAAAGTTAAGATTAGACTTTTTATAGCTTTCATTTATTGGTTTCATAAATGTTTGTGTGACAGGGACAATAAGCTGGCAGAAGGCTAAACAGCAAATTGCAGTCAAATGTGGGACTGTAAAGCTGCTGTGCTCCTCACAAATGGATATCGGTGTGTCTAGCGATAACCTTTTTCCTGACACAGCTTTTGGCTTATTTAATAAATTGCTGAGGTGTAACTAATAGCATTAATGTTGGTTCTGCTCTACTTAGATGTGCCTGTAAATAATACTTGTGAGCCATTGTACACTATTGCAGAGTTTAGGCACTGCAACACTTAGACTGAATGCATCTGTTATTAATCTCGTAGACTGTCAGAATGTCTGCCGTGTTTGGCGGCCTTAATGAGAATGTGAGGACAGTTAAACAAAACGGGCAATAAGGTGGCATTTTGTCGTTATTAGCTGGTCAACGCGTATTGTAGTAATCTAAGCGAAATATGAAACAACAGAAAACTGTCTCTTTATGTTTGTTTTGCCTTCTGATGATAAACTGGATTCACCTCTCTTTGTATTTTACAGTAAAATCAATACAAGTAGAGCCAGAGAGCCAAACACACTGCTTCATCTGAGCAGAAAGAGGTGGGTGCAGGAGGCAGCATCGTGTGTTGCCTCTGGCTGTGTAAGGCTATTGGATTCTGGTAATGCAGCTCAGGATGCTGTCCCTAAGGATCAGTGCTGATGCTGCCACTGTTGAAACATGCTGGACTTTTCTCCGTTGCTCTTTTGAAAATAACAAAAAACCTAATGTACAGCAGCTAAATGGATGCGTCGTCTTTGAAGGAATGTCAGTGCAGTTGGTGTTTTTCATATTTTTATTCTGTTGGTTTGTTTTGCAGAGTGCAACCAGGCAACTTCGACTGGCTGTGCGCAGATTTTCCCGTGTAGAAGTAGAAATACTGATGTTGTGTAAATGATGTCGGCGCTCCTCTGCTCATGACATTTAAGAGATTACAGAATATACAAAAATCGTGGCCTTCTCCTGGCAGTGACCGTGAACAAAGATCTAAAAACAGGGTGACCTACATTAGCATTTCTTTTCTTTTTTTTTTACCTGGAATTGCGAAAAGTGAAAACTAGGCTACAGGATCTCCTGCAGGATTTTTCTAGTGGAAGCCTCTCCTAAAAATAAGGAG